CCGAGAGTTGACTTTATTGACATCGGGTTCGGTATTCGATTCCGGGAGTTGGTATAGCTCTATTGTGTCATTTAGAACTTGCATGAAAAATTTAACGTCATTCCGGGTTGATTTGATATGTTTCGGCACGAGTTTTAGAAGTTGAAAGTTCATAAGTTCATTAAGTTCGATTTGAGGTGCGATTCATAATTTTGATGTTGTTTGATGTGATTTGAGGCCTCGAGCAGGTCCACGTTATGTTATGAAACTTGTTGGTATATTTCAACGCGGTCCCGGGGGCCTCGGGTGTGTTTCGGATGGGCTACATGTTATTTCTCTATGTTTTTGGACTGCTGGCTTGCTGGTGTGCATGTTGTTCTTCGTGATCGCGAAGATGATGATGAAATCGCGAAAGGTTTCTGGGAGCTTAGAGATTTTGTTCATCGCAGACGTTATCGTGAGCACGTGTTCGCGATGCTTTAGTTGTCCATTATCCGCGTTCGCACCTATTTGGTCGCATTCGCGTAGTGGAACTGGGAGTTGGTGGACTTTTACTTACCGTGTTCGCGATTGTCTACACGCGTTCGCGAAGCCTCTGATCATTGTTCATCGCGTTCGCGAGGTTTGTGCCGCGAACGCGAAGCTTTATTTTCACTGGGCAGCAATTTGTTCTTCGTGATCGCAAGGATTGTTCCGCTATCGTGTAAGAGGAATCACTCGGCAGAGTTTAAGTACTCTATTTTGAGGGCTATTGATATTTTATCACTTTTTGAGTTAGAGAGCTCGAGTTTGGGCGATTTAGGAAGGGATTTTCACGTGTTGGTTTGGGGTAAGTGTTCTTTATCCGGATTTGATTATATTTCATGATTCCATAATTATTTTTATAATTAAATTAGTGAATTGAACGAGAGAAAATGGGAATTTTTGTAAAATCTTTTTAAAATATAAAATGAGGATTTGAAGGCCGATTTGATGTCGGAATTTGATAATTTTGGTATGGTTGAACTCGTATCGAAATGAGTGTTCAGATTTTATAAATTTTATCGGGTTTCGAGGTGCGGGCTCGGGGGTTGACTTTTTAGTTTTATTTAAAGATCAAAACTTTATTATCCGAAATTGTTTCATTTGGTTTTTATTTATGATATTAAGCTATTTTGGCTAGATTTGAGTCGTCCGGAGGTTGTTTCACACGAGAAAGTCATTTTAGCGTATCGGTTTGATTTCTTTGAGGTATGTATCTTGTCTAACTGTGTGTGGGGTAAACTACCCCTTAGGATTCGAGTTGATTGTGCTATTTGTGTTACGTGAAACCCGTGTACTCAAGGTAATGAGTGGGTGCACGGGCTATATGTGGTATTTGACCGGTTTAGATTATCTAGACTTTTTTCATGCCTTTAATTGAATTGTCATGACGTGTTATATCTCTCATTGTTAATCTACTCTTACATGCTCTATTTGACGTTGTTAGCACTTATTGTACCTCTTACTTGTCATTTTGCCCTTATATGCTTTAGTTGAAGTTATTGCCTTCCTTATTGTCTTGTTATCTCTTAATTGTTGAGTCCTTTCCATGACTCTGTGCCTATTTGCTACTTGTCTTAACTATTTTACTTGAACACCTTAGTTGTCACGTGCTTTACTTGTCATGTTGTTCTTGTAATAATTGTTGCATTTCTCTGATTATTACGTGGTTCCTTTATTGTCATGTACTCATACCCTGTGATTGTAGAAATTCTTGTATATTGAGTTATTGGATTGTTGTTGTTGTTGTTATTGTTAATTTAAATTGCTTGTGGATCAGGTTGCACACCACAATGGGTGGAATAAGGAAAAATTATGATATTGATAAATGATAATACGGTGGGATCGAGTTGCACGCCACAACGAATAGAATAAGGGAGGATTATGTGATATGGTGAAATAAGGGAGGATTCAATGTTGATACGGTGGGATCGGATTGCGCCCCGCAACAGATGTTATGTATTATTTTTGATATTGATATGGTGAAATAATGGAGGATTGTGTTTGTACAGTGGGATCGGATCGCGCGCCGCAACAGATTGTGTGTGTTGTATTCATTGTTGTATTGTGTTAGTGTTCAATATTTATACTATAAGATTTTGAGGACTATTATCTTTGGATTTACTGATTTTAAGGATTGAGTTTTTTTCATTAGTTTACTGCTTTGCCGTCATTTCTTGTTTTCCTTTCCTATTATTATTATTATTATTATTATTATTATTATTATTATTATTATTATTATTATTATTATTATTATTATGGTAAATTGATTTCAAGATGAATTTACTACGCTGAGTCATTATCTCATACCATGCCGAGTTGTTGGTAATATAATAATTTTAAATAAAAGAATTATTAACATGCTTACCTTATGTGACTCTTAAGTTAAAACTTGTCGTTTCATTCAGTACTTTACTATTCTTAATAGTCGTTATATTTCACTTTAATTGATTTCTCAACTTAAATATCCTCACCCTATCTGATATTTTTACTTTACTTAAAAATTGTTATTATATTTTAACTTAACAAATTCTATATTTAATTCAATAGCTTATCCGATGCTTTACTTTATTTGAAAAATGTTATTTTCTTCACCCAAATAATTTCTAAAATAAACTTATTTTCTCATTTGATTCCTACTTTATTCAAAGTTGTTACTATGCCTTATCCTATATAAATAAATCTCTTGAACATTTTCATTAGCATTTGACGCGGATACAGTGTACATAGTGGCACGTGAATTTTGCCGTGCGAAAGTGATGTGGAAAGAAATATGGACACGAGGTACCACACATGTAAGATTTGAAAGTTGCGATTTATGATTTGAGATTATGAGGAGTGGTACCTCGGGTAATTCTTGTTGTAAATTGTGCATTAGGATCGATTTGATTGATTTAGTTGTCATCTGTTTCTTTATTACCTGTCTATTTCTTGTTGCTATTCGTGTTTCTAATATTTTCACTGTTGATTGTAAATTTGTGATCCTTCTATTGTTGGTCTTACATTGATGTTCTTTCCATTGTTAGCTTTGAATTATATCCTACACAAGTTTACATGTCTGGTAGGTGTCTTGACCTGGCCTTGACACTATTCTATCGAGGTTAGGCTTGATACTTACTGGGTACCGTTGTGGTGTACTCATGCTACGCTTCTGCATATTTTTGTGCAGATCCAGGTACTTTTGATCGGGTTGGGTTGAGACTTATGCCTGTGTGGCTGGAGACTTCAAGGTATACATGTTTGACGTTCGCAGGCCCCGAAGTCACCTTCTATTGTGTTTCATTTCCATTGTTTCCCATTACTCCGGGACAATGATGTATTGTTATTTCTAGTGACTCTTAGCAAAGCTTATGACTTATATTACCTGTTTTGGGATATTGTATCATGTTGAGATTGTTGGCTTATTATAGAAACTTCTGTTTCATGCTTAATAATTATTGGGTTAAAAATTTATTATTTAATCAGCAGGTGTTAGGCTTATCTAGTCTTGCCATCACGACATCCTGTAGAGGAAAACTGGGGTCGTAACAAAGTTTAAAAATAAAACTCGTCGCAGTGCTTCATGATGTTGTGAAAAAAAAATGTAAAGGGAATTTTACCAACTAATTAAAAATATTTTACCAGAGGCAAATTTTTCCAAAAAATATTAGTACTACTAATTAATAAGCGTACAAGCACCATCATCAAGAGCCTATAAAAACACATCAAGTTATGGGACAATTACCTTTTAAAATTGTAGTGTTTGAAGATAAACATCCTAATTAAACAACCCAAAATTTACTGATGGATTCATGTTACATATAATTCTACAGAGAATATTTTTCCTTGGAATAGTATTATGTATTTGATGTACATGCAAAGATGCAAAATTTGGTCAAAATTTCACCCTTGGAAAACTTAATATATTCGAAATTACCAGATTAAATCAACAACATTACAAAATATTTGAATTATAATCCACAAGGATTCAGTAATATTTTATATATAGTCCCAAAAATAAACCTTGCAAGAGGAAGCACAAGGATTAGTCATAATGTTGGCAAAGCGGTGGTGGATGATCGAGTTTTTCCACAATCCGAAGAGAAAAGAACTATAAAGTATAAAAGTCTTTTGCCTTAGTTATAAAACACATATTAATAAATATTAATTAGGGAAGTAGGAGAAAACCAAATTATTTTTGTTAATATTGCATAAATGATAGGTTCAAATTTAATTTCATGTGCTTGAAATATTCATATATTATTAATTATCCAATTAAACTTTTTCTTTTTGTTATTTTTATTAGAATGTGAATTTGCATGTTTGTACAAAATTCCGAAGTAATGTTTGCTGAAGGATAAAATGGCCATTTAACTTTACATTATTATTTTTGTCTTGTAACTTTGACTTTGGATCACACTTATAATATAGTATATGATTTTTTGTGCTTCTAGCTCTTATATAGGGCCTGAAACTAGCATTGAAAACTAGTCTCACCCCACTTGAAGTCACATCTGATTCAATGGAAGTAATAGAACTGATTAAAAATGGTACCTCCCTTATCACCCAATCAGTTTTTAATGCAGATTGATGCCGGGATAGTTAGGGAATTCAGTCTTAGGCACAGCTATCGAAAACAAAGTTAAGTAACGGATCTCCTCGCGAAGAAAGGTGCAAAGAAGAAGTTGTTTGACAAGCTTCACGTTTTGGTAATTTCTTTCTATATTTGCCACAAATACTTTATGGGCAAACAGTTGAGGAACTATTTTTGAAAGACAAACTATGACATGTTATAGTATTAATAACTTGACATATAATGCTACACATTTAGAGAGCACTAATGCTCTTCAAACTATATAATAATTTTGTCTATGTAAATAGTAATTATCTAATTAACAAAAACAAGATAACAAACATAGTTAGAATTAAATCACATAAAATGAAACGGAAGGAATAATAAATAGGAGTAACTTTTTATTTATGCATTATATCTAGTATCCTACCCAAAGAGAAGTAACTCAACGGCCAAGAATCCATCCAACAAGGCGGAGCAAGAATCTGACCCGGCTTTGCAGTTGAAGGTGTCAGAGATGATGTGAGACAAAAGGCCAGACTCTCCACTTACCTACACTTCTGTCGCTGTGTGAAAGCCCAAAACTAAAGAAGAAGAAAATGCTCACTTTTCAACCAAACCTACCTTACCAACCCTAACCCCTATATTCCCTCTTTCTTCAACTCCTTCCTTCTAAAGTAGATGATGTTCAAACACGAACTTCTAGGACCCATTTCAGCTTTCTGTTTTAGGAACATTCAATGTACCTCGTCAGATATTGTAGATCTGTACTGCTACTGATCATGGATCACTCCTCTATCCAATCTTAAAATTGATGGTCTAGATGTAGAAATACAACTTGGGTGTGTTCAGTTTCATCATTTGGAGGGACAATATTTGTCCATTTTATCCAACATTGAAGCTTTTTATCAAAGATTGGATTTTTATTTATCAAAAGATAGGAACTTTAGCTTTACAGATGGCTGATTTTCAATTTTGGTCTATGTTTATAGTTTATTGTACAACACAGAGCTAACTTTATTTCTGGGGTTTACCAAGAAAGAGGATCTGGGTGATTTGGGTCTGTACAAAATTCCCATCCAAATTTGATTCTTGAACATATGTAGCTTGAATGGGTGTTACTTTTTGGTTTGTAATAATAGGAAAGAATATTATTTGAAGTTCACTGTTGAGGAAAATTTAGCAAACCAGTGTTGTATAGTTGTTAAAGATGTCATTCAAGAGTATGATTCAGGAAATGAGGGGTGAATTTGGGAGCATTTCGCGTAAAGGGTTTCGTTCTAGGTCACATAGGGTTGTTCAAGATTGTACAGTGACATTGGATGCTTTAAGGCAAAGTTGTTGGGCTAATATGCCGCCCGAGCTATTGAGAGATGTCCTGATGAGGATTGAGGCTTCTGACTCTACTTGGCCTCCGAGAAAAAATGTGGTTTGTTGTGCTGGTGTTTGTAGGAGTTGGAGAGAAATAATGAAAGAAATTGTTAAAACACCTGAAATTTGTGGCAAATTGACGTTCCCCATATCCTTGAAGCAGGTTTGACTCTCGAATTTTATGAGCTTTTAGTGTTCCAGTGTATGCCTTTGCGTTCTTGTTGTGTATGCTAGGCTAACTAAAAAAAGTGCTAGTACATTTTTGCTACATTTACTCCTTTAATCAGGGTGAGGCTCAACAGGAAAATGATGCATGTTTTTATGGTAGCTTATACCTGAAGGATAAATAAAGTGTATTAAAGCTTACACATTGTATTCCATTAATAATTGATCTAGCGATTTCCTGGTTTTTTCCATATGAAACTTTGGCCATTTAGGGGTTCGTCAAGAGGAACAGCTTTTGCTAAGCCTAAGTTGTCATTTGAATGAATATGACTTTTACAAGGTTGAGTGGTTGAGCATTGGGCGTGCTTGCGTGCACTTTGACTAATCCACATGGTAGCCTGTGTAGCTGACAAGCACATGTCTCGGACAATCCTGCTCCAGCCTTCAGATGAAGTCAAACTGAGCATTGTAGCTAGAAGAGGAACTTTTGTGGTCTTCAAGTTGATACTCTTATGTCCGAACAATTCAATCATCCTCTAGGGGATCTGGAATATGCAAATAATATAGGACACTGAATCAATATGAGTATGAAAGAACTAAGAAAGAAAAGAAATAGCTTACCTTTAAATCTTAGTACATCTGTAGATTTATGCAACCTTTGTTCTTAATGTTCTGCAAGAGAGAGCAGAAAATTAACTTACCTCCCCGCTTGGAGTTTCATGTTCCCCTTTAGATTACTCTGGAGCTTAATCAAGACTATGTGCTGTTAACGGTGTGCTTAACTCTTGGCAATGTTCAATACAATTGCTGCTGAGCACCTGCTTAGTTGCTAGAGGAAAGATTCATATGGAACTTGGTAATCTACAGCATATGTCATATGACCATCTGCATTAACAGCTATAAGCCTGCAACCTGCACTCTTATGCACTTGAGTGAAGATTCTCCTGAAGTAGTGTGGAAGACACACTCAACTTCCTTTCTAGGGCAGAATTTTTTGACTTTATTTTGGGTCAGGAAAATTGGAACTTGCACTTTAGAGTGCCTTTGGAAACATCCTGTGTTGTAAGAACATTTAACTTTGTGTAATAACAACAATTGTGAAGTCCTTTTGGGTTAAGCTCATGAGGTGAAGTGATGATTTATGGACCAGAAGTGCCCAATGGAAAGACCCCCTTGAGTTGACCAATTGTGGGTTCAATGCTCTTAAAGGGGGTGGGGGTGAGTGTGAGGGTGAGGAGGGAGATAGAGAACAGACGGACAGAACATTATCGTAGACCATGAGAAGAGTTGACTATGGCATAGGAATACAAAATGCTAAGAGTATATATAGCAAAGACTGAAATTTTTTGTCAACTAAAATAAGATTTTCGGAATGAAAGAATGCTAACAACTTTGTCTATTGGAATTACTGCTGAATCCTTATATTTTTCCAGCTGTTATCACATGAGTGTTACTGTACTTCTATTTTGCTTATACCACTTTGAGATGATTGGACACAACCAATTGCAGCACAACAATTAGATTTATATATCTATGTTATTGTTCTCTAAAATTTACATTTCTCCTGTGCTCCTATTTCCTTTTTCCTAGTTAAAGTATACAAATTAGAACTTTCTTTATGTGTTTGAATCATTTAATAATTTACAAGCATAGTGAATAATAACCTTTTCCTCTTCCTGCAGCCTGGTCCTAGAGACAATCTTGTTCAATGTTTCATCAAAAGGAACCGGAGCTCTCAGACGTATCACCTTTATCTTAATTTTAATGAAGGTGAACAATCGATTATGACAGTTTCGGTTCTTTCTTTCTATATATATATATGAATTACCCTCTCGTACTTGTTTGCCCTCTTTTCCTTTTCCAGTGTTTCTTTTGGTGCAATTAGATCCTCAGAGGCTTCATTTGCTTGTACCTGAATCTATCTAGGATTACTTTGCTTACGTTATCCAGGTTACATGATAGTGCTCTGACCTTCACTGTTTACCTTTTATACAGCTTCTAACGATGATGGTAAGTTCCTTCTTGCTGCTCGGAAGTGTAGAAGGCCAACATGCACAGATTACATCATTTCTTTAAATGCTGATGATGTTTCCAAGGGTAGCAGCACCTACATTGGGAAGCTGAGGTTTGTCGCACTAGTATGTCATTTGCTACTTTATAGTCGTCGTGCTGACTACGTTCTCCTTGCTGAACTTTGTAACAGATCCAACTTCCTGGGAACCAAGTTCACAATCTATGATGCACAACCCTCTAATGCAGGAGCTAAAGTCAGTAAATGCCGCTCTACTAGGTTTGTTGGAATGAAACAAGTCTCTCCAAGAATACCTGCCAGCAACTTTCCCGTCGCTCACATCTCATACGAGTTGAATGTCCTGGGGTCTAGGTAAGAGATAGTTCCTTTTGTTTGCTTTTATTTACAGGGATGTCCAATAAGGGAAATACTCCTTCTATGCCTAACATGCTGGTAACCTTCTTCGTTGTCCATAAATGATGTTTAGTCTTTTAAGGGGATCGTTTAACTAATTTTGAAAAAACAAGTTACTTGAGATCCAATTTACTCTTCTTTTCTAGGGTCTAAGTAAGAGATAGTTCCTTTTATGTTATTTCACCTACATGGATGTCCAATTAAGGAAATACTCCTTGTATGCCTAACCGGCTGGTATCCTTCCTTCTTTAGTGTCCATAAATGATGTTTAGTCTTTTGAAAGGGCCGTTTAACTAATTTAAAATAAAAAGTTACTTGAGATCCAATTTACTCTTCAAAATACTAGCTCTTCTATCTAAAAAAACAAAAAATAAGCGGATATTTTACTCAATTTATACTAAAAAGTGAATGTTTTTCTTTGTGCCAAGCCAAAACAGGAAATTCAAGATTAAGTTAGTAGGTTTTTGATGTCATGAATGTTACACTTTTATCGATTGAAAACAGAATGTCTACCTTTTTACTGATTGAGAAGGGATGGTTATATCTCTCACTTGCCAATTGAAAGAAATTGTTTGTTTTTGTCAGGGGGCCTAGGAGGATGCTGTGTGTCATGGATGCAATTCCTGCTTCTTCTGTTGAACCTGGGGGTGTAGCCCCTACGCAGACAGAATTTGTTCCTGTGAATATAGATTCCTTCCCCTCCCTTCCCTTTTTTAGATCAAAATCAACTCGCATGGATAATTTCCCATCCGGGCCTTTACCCAGTCAAAAAGATGAAGTTTTAAGTTTGAAGAACAAGGCTCCTAGGTGGCACGAGCAACTCCAGTGCTGGTGTCTTAACTTCAATGGCAGGGTAACAGTTGCTTCCGTAAAAAACTTTCAGCTAGTTGCTTCTCAAGGTGATGGAGCTGGACAGGAACATGAGAATGTTGTTCTCCAATTTGGAAAAGTGGGAGAAGATGTGTTTACCATGGACTATCAGTATCCTATCTCTGCATTTCAGGCATTTGCGATCTGCCTCAGCAGCTTTGACACCAAAATTGCCTGTGAATAATGAGACAGGTGCTTTTTGCTGTAACCTTTTACTCAACATCATTTGATTTTCATGTGCTCATTTTAGTATGTGATACTGTAATGAAGTGAGCAGTAGTAATGATTTGATTATTAGAAAGTGTGTTTGGTGATCCCAAAGAACAACCTTCTGGTGGGACAAGAAATGTTCTCAATACCATATAAACTGTTAAAACGACTGTCCAAGGTTTTTGATTATAAGTTGTATGTAATGTGTACACAATATCTCTTTTCTGGAAACCCAAGTATTACTTTGTTTGCAGATGAACCATTTTGTTGCCGTTTAGGTATAATGATCGATAGACTGATTCATGCAGGTTCTGCAAGACGTATTTGAGGTGCTCAGGCTGGCGTTTGCATAACCCTGTGTCTGTTGGCCACTGAACTAACACCCAGTTGAATCGCAGCAAGTTTGTTCTTTGCTGAATTAATCGCCCTGGTTTCCTGTGCTTGGACCTTTCTCTTGTTACTTTTTGTAAATAGACAGGTATGCTTCCCAGTTTGGTTCTTCTAACTTACTGCTTTTGTTAGCTCACTACCTGATTGTACTTGTTGTACCCTTTCTCCTGGACAGGAGTGCTTTCATTTCTGATTTTTCGTTCTTCCCCTTACAGTTCAAAACTTTTGTAGTATGAGCATTTTGATGTCTTTATCAACGGTAGTATTTCTCTCTTGGAATAATGCCGAAATGTAATTGTAATATGCAAGAGTAGAAATTTGTGGAGATAGAACACCAATGTAAGGCTGGTGACACTTGAACCTGTTTTGCCAAATACATTGCGAAAACAATCAAGTGTGCGCAAGTGATGAAATACTAGACTTTTTTTGTTACAACAATATCAACAAATACTAGCAATTATTATTTGGCAGGAGGTTCCTAATTATATTCTAAATATTGTGAAAATAGCACGAGCTAGCCAGTTTTCGGACTAGTAATTGAAAAATAGTCACTATTTTGCTGCAACACGGAAAATTTCAGCATAATATACTGGAGGTTGGAGCATCTGTGTATGAACTTCTAGCATATTATGCTGGATCAGTATATTATGTTGGAACTTCAGTATATTACGCTGGAAATTCACATGTAAAAAATTCAAACTCCAGTATATTATGGTGGAATATTTTTCGGATTTTGAACAGTGTTTTCGTTCAGATTTATCTTTACACTAAAAGTGGCTAAATTTCGATTACTTTTGGAACTGTGACTATTTTTCATTTCCCCCCCCTAAATATTGGTATGCACTGGAACTTTTACAATGAGAAAGTATAACAAGGTTACACAAAAAGTATTCGGCAAAGGGCCAAATATACCCTTATACTTTTGAAAATGGTCTAAGAATACTCTCGTTATACTATTGGGTTATCTATACTCCTTCAGTCATACTTTGGGTTCAAATATACCCCTCATTTAAACGGATGTACACGTGTTATCGTCCTTTTGGTCAATTCTAAATATTTCATAATTAATTAAAAATACTCAATTACCCATACCCGAAAAATAATTTTTTTTTTTGTAAAAAATGGAAAAAACTTAAAAAACTGAAAACTATTTTCTAAAACAATATTTTTGTAAAAATTGAAAAAAATAAACTGAAAAATAATTTTTTTAAAGCAATTAAAAACTGAAAAAAACTGAAATATTTTTAACTAAAAACTGAAAAAAAAAAAAGAAAATATTTGTTTTTTAGTTTTAAAAAAACATTGCTTTAGAAAATTGCTTTTTAATTTTTTTTTTTCAGTTTTTACAAAAATATTGTTTTAGAAAATATTTTTCAATTTTTTTTAAAGCAGTTTTTTTGTAAAAACTGGAAAAAAAAATATTTTTGTTTTTTTCAGTTTTTAGTAAAAATAATATCAGTTCTTTCCAGTTTTTACAAAAAAAAAAAAATTGCTTTAAGAAATTATTTTACGGGTATGTGTAATGAGTTTTTAATTAATTAGGAGATATTTAGAATTGACCAACATGACGATAACACGTGTTCCTCCGTTTAAATGAGGGGTATATTTGAATCTAAAGTATAATTGAAGGGATATAGATAACTCAATAATATAACGAAAATTATTCTTAGACTATTTTCGAAAAGTATTGCATGGTCAGAATATATCTGGCCCTTTGCCGAAAAGTATTGCATGGTCTGAACTTTCATTTGAAACAGCTATTACGCATTACTTGCAAACTAGTTAGGATCAACTGCATATTAGACCGGCGCATCGGCTGATCTCTTTGATAAGATAAGATGTTATATTAATGAAGCAAAACTAATGGGTCGCTTGGTATGATAAATAAGTAAAAATAATACTGGCATAAAATTATAGTACCGCCTTACCCCCTATTTAATTATTAATCCTGGAAGAAGTTATCCCGAGATTAAAAATAGTACTGGGATAACTTATACCTGCTAAAAGGTGGAATAGTAATTCTAGGATAAAACAATAAAATTAACAATTTCCGGAGTAATACATGTCAAACAACCAATAAGAAATAATACCAGAATAACTAATCTCAATATAATTATACCCAGCCTAACTTGTCTTCAAACCAAACCACCCAAAGGGTACCAGCAATAGTACAAAAGGATGAGCAGGTTAGCTGCGGATTTAGTTGGGGACTAATTTCTTGGGGATTTATCTAGGGATCTGCTTACGTGGGAAATTACATAGGGGTTTTATTGTTGCGATTTTAGCTAGGGACTTTTTCTCGGGGGTACAAAATTAGTTGCTAGTAACATATTCGGAGAATCCAACAATTCCAAAAAGCTGAGTGGACACTCTATCAAGCTGCTCCTACACCAAAAATGCAAGTTTTGTATACATTTGTACTTTACAAAGAAGAGTTCTGTTTCTCCCCTACAAAACATCTTCTATTCGATTCTAATTTCTAACCAAATGGTCCACATGATGCTTAAGGGAATGGTCTTCCAAACTTGTTTCAACCTCTTATCAATTCTGTCCTTGCCAAGCAGATAATAGAGATTTGACAACTTGTAGTATCACCCACAGATAATCCCGAAAATGTTTAGAAATAATGTCCAGATTTGCCAGGCAGTTTGCAGGTGCTTCATGTGTGAAAACTCACAAGAAACCATAGACTGGTGCATGGGCTGATAACATAGTACATAACATCCAACAACGCTGTTCTTTGTTGAAAAAGAAACTTCAAGTTTCTTGAAAAACTTATTCAGGATTACTGTTGTCACCGCACCGAAGGAGGTCCAACACGATGGAAACCGTCTTGCTGTATCTCCTTCAGCACCGTATGAAATAAGAACCTGATGTACCAATGCAGTCAAAAGGCAATTAAATTCCTAATTCTATTGAAGACACTACGTTGAGATCGTACTGAACCAACCAGAAAGTTATAATGCACATCTGCACTAATCACTAACAAAACATATGCATCATTTTCCACAGCCTGGGACGACAATAAAAGTGGGCTTTCTAGCCATTCTTTCGATAAGAGGGCAGGCATCAAACGACAAACAATTTCAAGCGAAGGAAAGTTTTTATTTAAATTACTTGATCAGATGAATACTTTAGACAACAATTTAAAGACTATGAAATGCACCAACTTGCACCGAGAAACAAGCATCCTAAAAAGGTGATCTACAAGTAGCATGAATAAGATATAGCAATCTAAGGTCCCTGAAATTGGAACCGACACAAAAGTCAAGTCCAAACAGTGGGTTTCTTTGGCTATACTATTTTTCTTTTTTGCATTTCATTTTGTCATGGATCAAAACTGCCTGCCTGATTTGGGACATCTAACTAGGGATATTTTAACTATGAAATTACCAAGATTTGCTCTGGAACTTCAACAACAAAAGTCATATCCTGGATTGACTCTTCTGAATCATGGTACCTAAAATTGGTTACTAAAACAAACATCATAGTTCATAAGAACTTAAAAAATTGAATGCCCAATGACATGTTTAAAAAAATTATTATGACAAAATAGACTTTGAAAAACCAAAAACTTTGGCATCCGAAACAACATAAAGACAAGAGAGGATAACTCTCTCTTGTCTTGTTTAGGATGCTAAAATTTCTGGTTTTATTTTAATATAACAAACATAAATATGTAACACAA